ATCACTTGAAAAAACACGGGGGTGCTTAACTTTTTTCCAGGTGTATATATAATTTAACCAAAGAACCAGAAATAACCTTGACATTCACCTTGAGAAAACTGGGGTGAGATTGTTTGTACTGTAGAAGGAAAAATATTGCACAACAACAAAGACAAAATTGAAAAGTACACCAACAGTGGTGTTTACCAATTCATTTAAAGGGTCAAGACTGCAATAGTGTATACATAAGTCAAACAGGATGTTCCATAGAAATAAGAATTAAAGCACATTCTAGAAGTGGGAAATTAAGGAAAATGGATTCAACCTTTGCACCCCACCTTATTGAAAGTAAAATCCAATTTGTACTGGACGAAAGCTACTGTGAAAAGGGTATAAAACAAGATTAGCCTGGAAGCTTTAGAAATAAATAGATGTCTAAAACAAATCCAGAAAAAGTTTTAAATGACCAAACCAACTTGTCCCCACTTGTTTCAAGGTGAATGTCAATTTTACTTCCAGTTCTTTGGTTAAATGATATATATATATAAACCTGTTTACAAACCATTTCAGTCCGCACCTGATGTTGTTAGTAAATGAAAGTTTTGTGAAACATACAATTGTCTTTGTTTTTTTCCCTCAATTATGTAATAATGGAGTTTCACCAAGTACCAACAGTTTCAAGTGTCAGTTATTTTGATTTTAATATTATCCTCATGGTTCTTTTTTTATTTTGTTGAGATAGATATTTTGTATGTAGTTCTGAAAAGTTGAAATGACCGTTTTGGCAGATAGGGATTTCTAAAATGGACGAAGATGAATAATGGTGCATGTTTCATTTTCCCACACAGATCTGTTACAAAGATGATTTTTAATTCTCAGTGCTCATTTTACCACAGTGAGGCATGTTTTTTTTCATACTAAAATACATCTCTTGTGCTTTGCAGCCGACCTGCCTTGGAAATCCCATGCTTAAAGTGAGTTTATGCAATTTGAAACTAGTTCTGAGGAATCACTAACAATATATTAAGCCATTTCAATCTTCTTATATTGCTTTCACTAACAAACCTGGCATTAAGTGTAGTCTGTAAAGTTCTTTTTGGTCTTTGTGAGAGTAATTTGCAGACATGCTGTTGTGGTGATACTGACTCTATGGGCTTGAGAACCATAGGAGCATAAATTGTTAATTTTTAGAATACTAGGACAACCATAGATTAGTTTTTGAAATTTTAAGTGACTGTGTGAATTCAACAAACTTAAACTACTACAAGATGAAAGTTTTAGCTTTTTCTTTTAATCATTGCGGATATGAGTTATGTAACAGAAGTGGGTTCTTTTCAGCTAGTTTTTGTAGGAGCACACAATGTTTTTTTTATTTAATTTTTAAGTTATTGGTAGTTTTTACAATTTAAAGTATTTTGTGCTTGACTTAAAATCCATTCTGAGCTATTTTACTTCAGTTTCACATTTTTGGTATATTGTTTGACCAAGTTTAATTAATTTATAGATATTTGTTCATAGGAAATCTTGTTGAGAAGAAGTTTAGGGGAAGAGAACCCATCCCTACCTACTTCTCCAACAGGAAATGTTCCAACATTGACATCCCCAAGTGGAAATGGTCTAGATCCATTTCTGGCAGGAACAGATTTCCACAGTCGACAAGAAAGTGGTGACAGTGGCCTTGGACTTAGCTCAAACTTAAGTCTTCCTCACACTCCTGACAACTTTCTTATGTTAGAAGATGGATTAGAAACTGCAGGTAGGATATGATGTTGAATAGGAGTATAGCAATGTTGATAAGGGTAAATTCTTATCCTTCAATTTGCTATGCCACAGGTTTAGTTGTTTATAAGTGACTATAGTAGATGTTCACGTTAAATCAGACCCACGACCATTCCAATCATTGGGGCATCATTGATTCAACCATTATAACTCTGCAAGTTTCCAAGTTCTCTGCCATTCTCACATATTCTGTGGCAGAGGTCCATTTTTTGTGTTGTTTTTGGTCTTCCTCGTTTGGGCTTCCCTTCCATGGCCCCATGCAGGATAGTATTTGCAAGGGTGTTTGTTTTTATCATCAACGAATAAACTACTGTAGTTTTAATCTTCTCATAGTATCTATCAACAGTTTATAGGTTACAATTTTCTGTACACTTTCCTTTTTAACTGATTTCTATGCTTTATGCATGGTATAAGGAATGTGCAAAAGTCTTTTGAAGCATCTCATTTGGAAGGCTTCTACTCTGTTTCCAATCTATTTACAAGGGTCCATGTCTCACATCCATGTAGTGCTACTGAGGTAACTACAACATGGAGAAGATGAAATTTTGCTTTTAATGTGATGTCCTTACTTGTCCAAATTTTCTTGAGTTTGGAAAGTTGTCCTGTGGGTAAAGCCAATCTGTCTATTACTTCCTTTTCTGATGTTGGCTCTTCTATGATATTTATTCCAAGATATTTAAAACTGCTAATCCTTTATAGTTTCTTTTCTCTGGTTTTGATATCCTGTAATGTTGCATGATCATTGCTAGTGCTACAAGTGATCATCACTTTGCTCTTTTCTTGATATCTCTACGCCATATTCGTTTGTTGTCTTGTTGTAAGGTTTGATGATTCTGCAATCAGATTTATATCATCTGCAAGTGTGAGATTATTTATTTTTCAGTTTTTAATTGATACTAAACCAGTAAGACTTCTGTCATGATTTGTTCTAGAAATATGTTGCACAAACATAGACATCTCTGCCACACTCCAATGGTTGTTTTGAACCATTTCTGAATGTTATTGTAAATTAAGGCTCCACTAGTAGTATTGTTATACAATGCTTCCATCATTCTAATTATGTTTTGACTGATGCTATCATTGTTCATTACTGCCTATAATGTTTTTTTGCCACAGTTGGTCAAAAGTTTTTTTGATGTCAGTAAAATTATGGTGCAGCTATTTTTGATGCTCAATGTAATTTTCACACAACTTTTATAATGAAGATTTGTTCTGTAGTACTCCTCTGTCCTCTGAAACCTGCTTGTTTTTTTAGTTAGGACGGCCTCATTCTGTTGCTAAACTCTTTCACTACAGACTCAGTCCCAGGTACTGATCTCGTAACCATTTTGTGCTTGTTATAGTTTTCATTCTATAACTTTCAATACAGTATTTGTATCCACGAAATTTGTAGATTATCAGTAAATATTACAAGGCTTTGGTACACAAAATATATTTTTTTTATTAAGTTTAAGATTTTTTTGAGTAATGATTTGCTCGTGAATTTTTCTTTTCAAATGTTGACTATCCAACATGCAATGTAATTTTGATTATAAGATTAAAGAACACTTTTATGCATCAGAAAATTGTCAAATTTCTATAACATCCAGATGATTATCAAACTTTTTAGAAAAAATGTTATATTTAATCTGTTATTTTCACTGTTGTATCTCTGTGTGGGCTTGGTCAATTTGACCGACCTCATAACCATCATAAAAATTTAGGAAATAGATATAATTTTTTTTCATTTTAGAATGACTACAAATTATAACACGAAACCACAAATGTTTAGTCTAAATTGCTTAACTCTCATAACATTATACACCTGTATATATTTATAACTTTTATTTTATTGACCTTTCAGCCATGTCTGACTAACATTACAAAAGTTGCAATGACAAGGTGCACATGCATTCATGTTACTATATCCAATAGTATAAAACTGGCCTTTACAAAGTGACCTGTTTTGGCTTTGTTCTCGTAGGCAGTATTATTTAAAATACAGTCACATTTTGGTTATAATATATTACATATGTGTGTATATATATATATTATTACTATTTACAAATAAGTTCTCAATTTCAGTTATTTTTCTTACAACATAGAACAGTAAATAAAGAAATACAGAAAACAATGACCTCTACTACTTACGATTATAAAGAAATTTTTATTTGCTTGCTGTACCTTGCATGGTAAGCCTTGCAGAATATCGCACATGGATTATGTAAAACAAAATTTCTTTTTTAGATTTTATATAGGCATTTGGAAATAACAAGAAATTATAAATTACTCTATCAATATCGCAGAATTCCACTGTAATTTATCAGGCTTACTAACTAAACTGTATTTGTGTCTAAAAAAAATATTGATTTTCGAACAACATTTTCACTTACTCCTTTCTTCTGAGATTGTAGAGAAAAGAAATAATCTTGGGAAATTCCCACCTTCAAGAGGCTGAGAAAACCAGATGGGGGAAATTCTGAGCTTTTGATTGGTTATAAATACACGATAGAGCGTAAGCAAGTATTTTCAAAAATGGAAGAGGTGGGCGGGGCCACTGTGTTTGATTTGCTAAATATAGATATCTCAGCAAATAGCAGGTTCTTATTTTACATTCTAGCTTGTTAGTATTGGTAAGTTAAGTTTATAATTCATAAGAAACTATGGACTTCGTATTTGAAACCACAGACATACTAAAGCTGCATTCAACATTCCACGTGTCACACAAAAATTGATATTTAGTTGTTTTTTTTAATATTTACTTTTAAGTTAAGAAATTATCTAAGGTATAATACTAAAATTTGAATTATAATCTGATACCAGACTTATTGACATACATTCATAAAATAGTAGTTCAATAAAATTTAGAATGTAAGTCTACAAATATGATGACATGCCCTTTGATCCCTGACTATAGTAAAACCCATAGCGATAGGGTTAAGTCTGTTTAATACAACTCTTAGCATCACTTTGCTCTAATGACTAATAAGGCTGATAGTACAGTAATTGTTACACTGATGAAGATTAATTACCCTTCTTAGGGATAGGAATTATTATAGACTTCATCCACTGTGTTGTCTATTCTCCTGTTTTCCAAATAATATTGCAGATCTCAATTGTTGTTTGCTCAGCTTTCAAAAGTTCCAGAGTATATTGTCTACATCTGCTGCTCTTTCATTTTTTCATGGTTTTAACTGCATCTTCTATTTCTCCTCTTAGAATTTCTGGTTCTTCTTCACATTTTTGTTTGGCTCCTCCTTTATTTAACCTTATAATTACTTTTGAGTTGGAGTCAATGTTATATAGTTCTTTTCAATACTCAGTACATTGTTTTTGAATTGAATTACTTTCTGTTAATAATTATTGATGTTTTTACTCGGTATACTTTAGTGAGTTATTTCATCCTCTCTCACTATTGTTATTCTCAAATCCATGTTGAATATCTTGGCATCCTTGTTGTATCCACATATCTTTTGCAAGTCTAGTTTCATTTCTAACTCTTTTGTTTACTTCTTTACATTTGTTATAGTCTAATTCTGTGTTGAAAGGTTTGGCTTTCAGTTATCTATGTTTGTCACACTTTTCCATGATTTTGTTGTTCATCAGTGGTTGCTTTTTCTTCTTTGCTGGTCTTAAGTCCTAACACTGCCTCATTGATAATACAGGCCTGCAGTGGTTTTATTCTCTTGACATTTGTACATGTTCTAAGTAATTCATGTATGTTGAATCCAAAAATTATATCCATATGTACTAATTGTACTTTTACATAAGTGAATCTTTCTCATTGAACTCTGGTCACTTTTGTTATACTTAAAATGTTGACAACCACTGGCTATAGATTTCTCTAGACCAATTGTGATGCGAGTCTCGCAGATCGTTCTAAAACCCACGAGAAACACACCACTAGTATATGAATGGTTAACAGGCCACATGATGTGTCATTTCTGGATAGTATTTGTTTGTGCATACACTTTGATATTATTTTTTTCTTTTCAATATTACATATTCATCACTATGGTAAAAAGAGGTTGTGTAAATGACCCAAAGATATTCTGTTATATTTGTGGTAAATTTGTTGTAAAGAAGCAAAGGCAAAACATTACAGAATTCATCAAAAAAGCATATTACACATATTTTGGAATAAAACATGGGGACCAAGACAAATCACGAAGTTTTATAATAATGGAATGAATGAAAAGTGACCCGAAAAATGGTGCTAACTCGGTAACCCGTGGCCCAATTTTAACAAAACTTGTTTTATTCTGTTTCTATTCTCATTTCATTACAAATATGGTGCTATTGTGCACCGTTTTTGCTGTATTTAATTACAGACAAGCACACAAACAAACAATCTTAGAGTTTTAGTAGTACATAGATGGAGGTAATAGGACTTTCTTTGTGTCAACAAAACTTTCATGTTCAATGTTTTTCGATCCTGGTATCAGGTTGACTCTGCATGGCCATTGATTCTTTATCCAGTGTTGATTTCATGCTCTGCTGTCCCATTCACACAAAAAAACATGGAAACTTTGTTTTAGGAAACAACCAGGACCCAAGTTATGAAAATATTGTCAATAACACGCTCGATAAATTCAAAGAGTTGGGTTGTATTATGAGCTTGAAAGTTAATTTCTTATACTCAGATATTGACTATTTCCCTGAAAATTTCAGTGCAAAGAACAAGGGGAAAGGTTTCATCAAGACATCAGGGAAACAGAGAGGAGGTATCAAGGAAGGTGGAACATCAGCATGGTGGCCAATTATTGCTGGTCATTGAAACGAGATGCTCCAGATGCAATACATAATAGAAAGACCACAACACGTAGTTTTTAGATTAAAAGACATAGATTTCACACAAAAAATCAGGATGAATGAGAATGCATATTCGTTTGACATCACTGTTCTTCCCTTTTCATCAGTTTGTTTGTATTTTTGTTAAAAAACATAATAATAAAAAAAAATTTCATTGTGGCAAACAAAATAATAATTTGATCTAAG